TTCTTGATTTTGCGCTATGAAGCACGCAATGCTATTCTGGAGGAGCGAAGGTTCTACAAAATATATATGACTAGCGAATAGTAGCTTGCGAACAACAAAGTGATCGTCTCGACATTTTAGCCTTACTCGATAATTATTATTAATTTGTAAATTTTTTGTTTAACTTACATAATATTCTTAGGATGCCAATTAAAACGTTGATCCATGGAAAATAATAGATTTTTGTACGTAAGAAAAGTTCTGTTTTCATTCAATGACAAATGTTTATTAAAATTTTTCAATAAAAACCACCTGTATGTATTAAAAAAAAAAAAAAAAAAAATAAGTAATGCACTTGAGATAACAGTGAATTTATAATTCATTATTGAGAAATAAATATCAATTGATTAATAATGAAAAACGTACGAATGGCATTAATTCGAAAATTACTTTACCTTATATCGTTTTCATTTATTTGTATAAAAGGCATCTGAAAATATAATAACCTCGTGCAAAATTCGTTATTTAATGTTGGTATATTGGTTATACCAATTTTATATAATAACGTAGAAGATACAAAGTAATGTCTAATAATGCACTAATCAACTCCTATGGCCCATGTAACACTTTGAGTGGCAAAACTTGTACGATCTGTGATAAGAGTATCGACTATAGAGTTTTCATAACTTCTGCTGGTTTCCATAATGTATGTGAAAAATGTGTTATTTACAAATATCAATTTTATTTATCTAGAGAAGAAACAATTGTCATTCATTGGATGCATATGTTTATTCGTTTTGTTTTATATTAAAATTAAAACGCTCTTGATGGATGAACAAATTCATTATTATATTAAATACATTTTTTATATAATATTATTATATGATAAATCCATTTTTATTTTCGGAATTGTAATGAATGCGAAAACACTATGGAAAAAAGGTTGCTTGTAGTGTTTAATTAAAAGGTTACTTTACTACAAACGCTCCATATACATACTACAAATGAAACTATAAAGTTTGAGAATCATAATTAAAATAATAAACCATACGAACGATTTAAATATTTAAATGTATAAATTACAGGCAACCTTATCGTTCGTGTCAAAAGCAAATAATTAAACGACAATTCCATTTATATTGACTTTTGCGGATCATATATAAAAAACTAAGTTAAATTGTCTTACTTTAAAATAAATGAAAATTACAAATTTTAAAAACTTAATGAAAAAAAAATTAATTGCGTATCAAGTGGCCTTGGTTGTGTGTAAGTGAAAATTCTATCGAACTTACAAGTCTTTTTTAAATTAAACGTTATGTTTAACGACAGCCATCCATTTCTTGATAAAATTTATAAAAAAGAGTCAATAAAATTATAAAAATCACACTTATCTCTAGGATTAATAAAACATGTTTTAATATTTTATTTACATTTTTTAATAATACAATAATATTACACAGCAATTATGTAGTAATATTTATTACCTGAACAGTAATAAGTAATCATTCGGGTGTTTTTATAAATTTTTAAACTAATATTCAATATAATCCTGCATGTATTATAATTCCAACTTTCAACCAAATTTACAATTGAAAAAATCCCGATATACCGTTGATATTTTTAAGTAACGTGTCAGATGTTGTATCAATGACAAGTTTAATATTCGAAAATTTGTGCTACTTCAGCGCATGCAGGTATTGGTGGCACCAGACAGCAAATATAAAGATTATTAACTTAGATAAGGTGCCACACGACGTATATGCATAAAAAAAGCTTTGTAACCAGCATAAATAATGCGCCTTAATTATCATGACGCGTTAAATTACCAACTCTTACATATTCGAATGATCTCTAAACACATTATTATTACTCTTTTTTTTATTTATATATATATATATATATATATATATATATATTTTTTTTTTTTTTTTTTTTT